CCAACCCAAACCATTCTGTGATTCTAATAAGATGGTTAAAGATTTGTATCTCCAAAACCTCTGGCCACCAGGTCCTAATGAGTAGGAGAAGACTTTGCACTGATGCTTCATACCTGACGGAACTGTCAGAAAAGAGGATTACTTTCATCCTAGGTAGAGTCTTTTCTTTAAAGATACCTTTGAAAGCCAAGAGTTTTTGCCTCGTCGGAACTGTTTCCAAAGTCTGTGTGCGTTCATATGGAGACTCAGGCCTCTGTGCCCGTTGACATCTAGTTGGTCTCTAGCCTTGTGTACTTTGAGGATGCCAGACAGTGCAGAAGAAGTAAGCACTTGGTATTTTGTTACTGGGTGCAGTGATGTCTACAGTAGTTGATCTGTCTGTCATTACTCCTCGGTACCTGCCATCCTGGCTCTGAATTGTACAGAGCTGGAGAAGAACATGCTTAGGTGGGATCTGACCTTTCTAAATTTTTCAGTATACATCACATATAGTTTGATCATACAGAAGATTCAGGAAATTAGAAGCTTGTAAGCTTCAATCTGTTTTGAATTCAGTGAAACACCTTTTTATTATGTTCTTCAGTACTGTCATTTTTTTTGCAGTGCGGGGAAGGTAAATAGAAAATGGAAACTAATTCATATGGTGGGTGAGGAAGTGTTGATTCTTTCGGGATCCCAGTAAAAAAGGCACAAACACTTGCAAGGCAGATCATGATTAATAACTTGGCAGAGGTCATAGCAAGGTATAAAATCACATGTCCTTTCTGATGTTGGGAGCCCTGAGATGATACGGCTTTGGATGGATCTCTGGTCAGGGCATGGCAGCATAGATCTTGTCTTCTCAGAGTTCACTGTGCTCTTACTGGATTTTGCTCACAGTACAGATTCATCAATCATTGATAGCAGTCGGGTCTGGAATGGGGGCTTTGAAGTGCCCCTTGGCCAACATACTTTAATATCCTTATCTCATTAATAAAGCTGCCGTTCCTGAGCAGGTGCATGTAATATTTCAAGTGGAAAAGACAATGCAGTGTACGTATGCTTAAGATTAAATGCATATTGATTATGTGTACATTCATTAATTTCACTATTGATTAGACACAGCATGATTCAGTAGTGATTACATGGTATCAGTGATACAGAGGTGTATACCTGGATGTGGTCACTAACTACTTGTACAATAATAATCTTGCAGGTTGATCACTACAAACAGATTGAAAGGTTTTTGTGTGACTTGAGTTGGCTTGAAAGGCCTTCAGTTTTACAGGGCCTGATGGGGTAGATTCAGGCTGACTTAAACAGCTGTTCAGATGGACAGGAAGATTCAGAAGAAAGTGATGGGTATTATTAAGAGGCAAATATTGGAAAGCATGCTGAGTGAATGCTTCCAGGCATCTTTTTCCATTTCCAGTTGTGCCACAGTGTTTCCTGAGAACTGGCTCTGCTAACCTGCTCTCAGTAGTTTTGTTTCTACACCACCTTTGTATTTTGCAGTTGTAGGTTAGTTGAGTCACTGCATGTAATGTTTACAGGACTTTATATTAGCTAATTAGCCAAAGTGTTTCATCACAAGTTTGTCTAAAAATAGATTTTTGCTGTGAGAGCGTTTGAAATTTTTAGACTGCTCTCAGTGAATGTAGGTCCTGCCGTTTGCATTCTCTCAACAGGTAGAGAGAAAATTTCCCCTTAAAAATAGTTGTAGAAGTATCTCAATGTCAGTGAGCCCTGCAGATTGATAATGGACTCTTCCTGCTAAGCTGAGAAATGGAGTGGTCGAGGTAATTGGTCATGGTTGGAAGAGGGTAGGCAGAATCTTGTAGCTTATGAGGAAGAAGAAAAAGTAACATTACTGTTAAGTAGATCTTTCTGCAGAGAATACAGAAGGAAACTCTGGATTTCTGGTAGTATAAGCCTTCCGGATGATATTGTATTTATGTTGGTAAACATACTTTGGTCACAGTTCTGTGGTCATATGATTGATGCAGATTTCTTGGCCTAGAAATGGTGGTGTGTACATTGGAAGCGGTCCAAAAGGAGTCCTTCCTGAGGCAGCTATTTATTTTCCTTAGTTTGCATCCTGCTTCTTGGTTCCCAGGTAGAGTTAGCTCCAAGTGGAGAATGGGAAGCTTTAGTCATAGCTCCAGAAGCTGCCTGTCTGATACAGCAGCATAGGCCAGTATCATTTCTTAGCCCAACTATCCATGTAAAAACTTGGCCTGCAACAGAGTACTGAAGTGTTTTAGGGTATTGGTTGATGGATGCTTGAAAACTAATTGCAGCATAGAATGGGAAGACATCTTGCTATATGTGGGTTGCCTCCTTTAATATAGAGCCCTGTGGTTTTCGGGATAGCTTCTGCTGTATATGGTAAAAGGTGAAGGAGCAAGTCTTGTTGATTTACTGTTCCACCAGGATCTACAAGGCAAGTGTAGAGAGTTTGCAAGGGGTTCTCTTGAAAGTAAAAGCATGTTACTTCCAGTTGTAGCACTTTGTTCACCTTTGTTCCCTTGGGCCCCTGGGATGAAGTCTTTGTGGAGTCTGTTTAGGTAAGCAGCTAGCAGAAAAATACTGAGCTGAATTCATCTCAGGTATTGTATTTGAGTACATGGCAAACGGCGTGTTGTACAGAAAATAAAGGTTGTCATACCTTTTTTAGGGCATACAAATGCTGGAATCTTTTAGTGCATTGTCATCTTGAAGTACTTTAAGGATGCTGAGACTTAAAATATAAGATAGAGGAGAATTGCACAAGACAGTAATTATTTTTTTAAAACATAAAACCACCCATTCAAATTCTGTGCAGGTATAATGGGAAAACCATTTTTGTGGTGTGCATGTTTGCATTTTGGGTGTCTTCCAGTTAGTGGAGGGAGGATATGTGTGTGGCACAATGGACGAGATATTAGTTGTGGGTGCAGTAGGGTAGCGAGGGGGAAGAAAGGGTATCACTCCAGCTTCTCATTTAATCCTTAAATATCAAAGCAGTGCTGAGCTGTGCAATCAATGTTTCTATTGCGCTGTTCTGTAGTTCACAAAATTTTAACTTCCTGAAATTACAGGAAAACATTACTTTTTGTCGCATTGACTTGAAGCTTTTATACTGTAGTCAAGTTTTATCACTTCACTTGCATCTGTCTTCTCATTTGAGGTTTTCGTAACGTTCTTCCTTTTTTTTGCATACAAGAAAATGTAAATAGGCCTTCCTAGACCACTTTCATTAATGAATAGAAATTAGGGGCAGGGAGTGAAAGTTTTCTGGAGTCATTACTTTCTGACCGGGTATTGATGATAAGGAGATAAAGGATTATGAATATATTGAACTGCTAGGATCTTTATCATCACTGAACACATTGTTACAAAAATTAGTTGCATGTCCAGTGTTTTCTTTTATTATTGCAGGTGGTACTGCATGAAAATAAGCTGAATTGTGGATTTTTTTTTTTTTTTTTAAAGTGCAATGGTTATCAAAAATGACATTTTAATGGCACTGATACAGCATTGCTCTGGTATATGTTGTTTGAAATGAAATGTTAGTGCTCTCCTTCCCTTCAGACTTTGGTTTTGTTTCTTAGGTTGCACGTCTTCAAAAAATCCCGGATGGTGACAATGAGACAATGATTCCTGTACTCTCTTCAAAAAAAGCAAGTGAATTGCCAGTTGATGAAGTAGCAAGCATTCTTCAAGTAAGTGATTTTGTGTCTCTTAAGAATGCACTGATGTTACCAAACAATAAGTTTGATATTTCTTAAGGACAGATCTTGTCATTGAAAGTCTGGCCGTTATAATGCAGTTTGATATTAGCTATTGTCCATTTCTAGAAGCATGTTGATTAAATTGTTACTTGAAATGCTCTAATCTCTTAATGTTTTTAAAAAAATTTGGTATATGGAGGGGGGAATGAGATTCAACTTGAAAATGTTTGGATTTCCATGTGCTTTGAAGATTGCTTTTTGTTAATGAAAATCCTAGAGTTAATATTTTTGTAAAATTCTGTCCTGTTTTTCGTAGCTAAGGATTCCTTAGAGCAATGGAAGCAATAATGTCCTTTATTTATTTTGGTACCCTCCATTTTAAGTGGAGGAACAGGACTGAGAAAGCTACCCATTGACAGATTTATGAAGCATTGAATCTGGGTTAATTTTCATGATAGATGGTCTTTTTTAATTTTCTGTATGCTTGACTGCTTGAGGAGTACACCATGATGTATGTTGGTCACTGACAACTCAAGACTTTGAAGCTATTGCTGTCATTTGGCTGAGTAACTGAACTCCTGACATAATCCTCAAGAGTCTGAACTATGCCTGTAGTTTGGCTTGTTGACGAGTTTTCTGCAGGGAAGATCAGCAATCATTTAGAGATGTGAAACAGCATCTGCTTCTGGAGTTCTGTGAATTTTTCGTTGAATCTCTTAAGTACTGCCAAATTATTTTTAAAATAGTAGTTAGTCAGCTTTTATTGTCATACAAACATTAGTACCAAGCTTGTCTTTCGGATGTTGGCCAAATTTGTATAATGTAAAGCTATATATTTTCATGCTGGAATTTATTTTGAAGTCTAGCTTATCAGTGTAATTGCTGACTGTTAATTTTTGCATATTTTAATAGGCTAATCTTCAGAATGGATTAAAAAACTGTGATGTTTGTCATAGACGGGCATTCCATGGATGGAATGAATTTGATATTAGTGAAGATGAGCCACTGTGGAAAAAATATATTTCCCAGGTTAAGAATTTCTTCCTTTCTACTTTTTGGTTTTAATACTTGTCGGTAGTTTTGCTCTTTATTACTTAGTTTTCACGTGCATGAACGTACTCTCATAGAAGTGGGGAAACTGCAGTAGAATAGGACATTGCAGCTTCTATACTTTGTATCTAATTTACCTATTGAAAAAGCTTTTATTATAGGTACATGCTGGTGTTTTATTAACGTGATTTGTTCTTGAATGTGTATTTCTGACTAGACAAAGGGTAGCATTCATAACTAGTCTGAAGGCTGGTGAAGCAGAATGAAGTTCACTGTAGGCAAAGACAGTGCATGAATTGCACTAAGGTCAGACACAAATGTATATGATTGTTGGTAAATATTTAAGTGGAACATGAAGTATGAATAACTTGATAGACAAAGTGAATTTTAAGAAGCAAAACTGCTGCCTTTGAACTGAGGTGGGACCAGCCTTGCTTCTGGTGTTAAGCAGAACTGGCAAAAGTCAAGTGTGAATTTTTTTTTCTATCAGTGTGATTTATCATATATATGTTTATATACGATAAATATGAGCATGTGCAGCTTCTTGAGATGGTGTGAAACTGTCACTACGTCTTCCTGCCTACCCCTTGCATCCCACACCCATACAAGATATTTACAGCAAATTTTCACACAGAAGATTTTTCCAATAAATTGGTAATGTTAAACATTTTCGTCAATGTTTTCTGTGCCTTATCTGAGCAGCAGTGCAGTTAAGTTCTGGAGTAAACCCTGAAGTAATAGACGGTTAATTCTAGATAAATTGTTTTACTTCAGAGTGACTAAAAAGATACGCAGCGCTCTGCTGATGATAGCAGTGGGAACATCATCATGTACTAGCTGTCATCTGGCATTAGTGCTTTATTTTCCCACGTGTAGTGTCAAATTAGTCAGATGCATCAGAACACTTATAAAGCATATTATTCAAATCTTTTTTAGGTAGGATTTATTAAGATACGTCTTTGCTTTGTGCTTATCGTGTGCTTTTAGAATGTTCTTCTATTGTAGGAATGTTCTTTTTTTGTAACGTTTCTCAAAAAAAGACCATGTTAGCTACTAGCTGTCACATAGAAATAAGATCCTTTATTATTTTAGCCTTAGGAATCTGAAAAAAAGTATTATCTAAAAGGAAAATTTCTGTCTAGTAAAACAAGAAGTCATGAATTGAAAATTGTGAAATGTACTGCTGTCCTGATAGTGATCAGTTGCTGGGAACAGGATCAGCCCATTACCTCAAAGACATTTTGATATATTTCAGGCTTCTTTTTGTGTGTTTAAATACAGTATTAAACAAATATAGGAGAATATTCTTTTTGTCTTAAAAATGTAAATCAAGAAATGTAAGAAGCAGTCTCCTGCTGCATATTGAATATGGTCTATTCAAGGTCTTTGGTAAACATCTAAACTATACAGAGATTTTCTTTGCACTGGTAGGTTAGAAATATTCTAATTATAGAATAATGTGTTTCAAAAATAGATCAGATGTGCTTTGAGGGGTAGATAAAATGGTGTTTCTGTCAAGAGTATTGCTGAATTACTGTTCTGTTTCATTTCAGTTTAAAAACCCCCTTATTATGCTTCTCCTGGCATCTGCAGTCATCAGTGTTTTAATGCATCAGTTTGATGATGCTGTCAGTATCACTGTGGTAAGGAAAGAAAATTTTGTCTTCATTGGGAGAGTGCTTCAGAATGTGTGACCACATGTACTTTCAACATCACATGAATGCCAGCATGGGTGGGGATCACTTGATTCTAATGCATGAATTTGATTTGTATGTTGTCATTGAATCTGTTTAGTTTGTGACTGGATTTTGGGGTTTTTTTTTCTTGACTGAGAGCAGCAATACATATCAAAATACATCAACAAATAATTATCTGTCTGCATCTTGCATCTTTACTCTTTCATTGGTTGAAATGTTGGTCTTTAGGCATTTCTTAGAAGGAGCAATTTTTGGTGTCTTTTGTGTAGTTTTTATCTTAAAGTATGCTTTAATTTTGAAATGAAACCAACATAAGCCTACTGTGAATTTACTTGAAATATGTGATCTTTTAAAACGTGAAAAAGAAATGTAACCTGAACTCTCTAGAAATAGCAGAAGGAGGATAGAAGCTGGAACAATGAGTTGTTTGTAGAAGTTTGCAGTTAAATAGGGTGCTAAACTAGTGAGTCAAATATAGTATATGCTAAAAAAAAAATTATAATCCCTTTGACTTTTTGGGGTGGTAGGTGATAACTGAAAATTGGTATTTCTGTATAATCAGAAGAAGGTTCTAGCTGTTTTTTGTCTTGGCTGACCTCCGCAGTCTCTATGTTGAGTTTTACTTCTGTAATTAACTCAAGGTAACTGAAATTTTGCTCCTAGCCCCTCTAATTCTTTAGAAAGAATAATTTTCTTTGGAAGATAAACTATGTGGCTTCTTTAAGAAAAAAAAAATGCAATTTGGAATCTGAGTATAACGTTAGTTTGGAATGGTCTGTTGTGTTCCTAAGTTGGATTTAGGTAAATTATTGTATTTTGAGATGTATTTAATTATTGTGGCTGAAAGTTGAATTATTTCATGTTTTTTCCTTGGTTAGTGCCCTTAAGTCTGTTTCCTAATCCTCCTGAGCAAGGTGGTGAGAAAAGAACAGGGAGGTTAGTGTAAGGGAGCAGTAATTTCTGCATTCTGTGCTACGACCTGAGAAGGAGTCTTTAGCAGCCTCGTGAGCATTGGTAGAGGTGTCTTAAAATATGGAAAAAAACTGTGGTTGAGTTGAAGTTCATCAGCTGTGTTTTTTTATTTAACTTCTGACTAACCTACCACTGAGTTTTGTTTCTATTAATTCCCACTTTATCAATTAGTGACTGTTGGTTTTTCTTCATTTTTAGATGATAGTGCAACTCTTCTGTGACTCTGTAGTTGAGCTCAGAGCTTTAGCAACAAAACTAATTTGCTGCCAAAGATCAATTACATATATTTTTTTTGGTGGCAATGCTGGCTTGAGCAGCTTTTGCCACCTTTTTAACTCTGCTGGTACAAATATATCGTAAAACTTTCTGATGGGGACTGGGAACTGATGAAGATTAAAAAAAACCCCAAAATTATGTACCTTTTTTCATTTGGACTATACTGGCTTCTTGATGCAAGCCATTGCGCATAGACACAAGCTGAGAGGGTGATGTGAGGCTAGGAATGCAAAGCTGTGTCAGGTAGCATGAACTGTAAGAGACAGTATTGCCTCCAGAAGAAACGTGTAGCTGTGGTGGAAATATTCCATGGAAAGATGGAATATGTATAGTTACTTACTAATCTTCAGTTGGTGAGGCTAGTGTTAGTATCACAAATAAGGCAGATATACTGGATTTATCCTTGGTTTAGCTAAGAGTTCTTCAAGAGAGTTTTTCTCTTGCAAAATAGTAATGTCTTGGTAATTTTTTAGTGCTTTCTGTAAATCAGTGTAACAACTCATCTGGATGAGGCTTTGAGCAACCTGCTCTAGTGGGAGGTGTCCCTGTCCATGGCAGGGGGTTGGAACTTGATGATCTTTAAGGTCCTTTCCAACCCAAACCATTCTGTGATTCTATGACATTCAGTTAATATAACAAAACTCAATTTGAGAGTGTGTTGGAGGGGAAGATGATACTTCATGCAAAACTGACATTTGTTGCTTCCTGTAATAGATGTCATTCATTCACTCACTCTCACATTACATGCTTACAAGCCCTGTGATGTTTAAGTTGAAGTGTTGTGTCCAGAGCTGTATGTGATATGGGAGGGCTATGAAGGCTTGCTATTGAGGCCTTGGTACTTAGCTTAGATTATTCCTAATGAGCAATTTTTATTAGGGTTGTGTTTTGTTTTTTTTTTTTTTTTGCTATCTAGTTACTAATCTTATTTTTCAGTAAAATGAGGTTATTGAGTTCTTGGACATCACTAGAGCAGATGTAAATAGATAATGGCATCACTTTTATAACAGACCCAAGGGGATGTCAAGTGATTGTGAGCATGAGGGAGTGTGTTTCCAAATCGTCTTGTTGATGTGTAGTATCAACTGTGGCTGAGCAAAACCAAATATGATCATTTACTTTCATGGCCATTTGGAATTCTTTTATCTCACCCGCTTTTGTTTTCTTGCAGGCAATAGTCATTGTTGTTACAGTTGCCTTCGTTCAGGTAGGACAACTGTTGTCCAAATAAGATTACTGCTTTTACGTGAACTCTTTTATTTGTAAGACTGAAGTAGTTGTCTCGATGCATTGTGCTGTGAATGGTTGAGTAAAGAGCTCTGTGCTGCCATCCAAGTCTTTTGCCTTTTCTAAAGTGCATAATTTGTTCTGCTTTAACTACATGGACATTTATGCATCTATATTGGTATTATACTCAGCCATAAAGGAGTACTTGTAAGGAGACAGAATAAACAGTGTAGAAGTAGTTAAATATTTAACTTCATATAAAATACGTTTTGAAAATGCAACTGGCTTCAATTTTGTCCAGAAATTTTTTAAAAAGTCTTTTTAAAGTAATTTTCCAAGTCATAAAAAAAGTTGTTTTCATTCTGTAAATACACAGCTTTACTCAGTGTGTGCCTAAACCAAAACTGCTTTGTTTTTATGCTTTATATCTTTCTTTACCTTAATTCTGTAATCTCTTTATTGAGTTAGAGATGAGTTGTGTTACCTTAGTTCTCCACAGGGCTAAGTGCATGAACACGGTATTTTTGGCACTAGCTTGTTAAACAGTAGAACTTAATTACGTGTCTGATCCATGAGTTTAGAGGCATTACAGAGACCGGAAAATATTGAAGGAAAATGCAAAGGACCTCTGCTATTCCTTCAGAATAAATGCATGTAGGCAGGGCTGTACATTTTTCAGTGTTTGGATCATATTTGTATTTTAAAGTATCTAATATAGAACTGTTGAAGGGCATCTCTTATCTGGTTGTTTGGAATATTACTTTAATACATCTTTCCTAGTAAGATAAATTTCAGTAGATGTATCTTACTGTTGTTTAACCTTTGCCTGTTCTGAAAATATTGTCTGCTTTTTTTTTTTTTAAATGTTTCTGCAGGAGTACAGATCAGAAAAATCTCTTGAAGAGCTTAGTAAACTTGTCCCTCCAGAATGCCATTGGTATGTAATTGTCCTTTCAGTCCTAAACTAAGTCATGTAAAGTTTAGTCTGAAATGAGTACATGAAAAAGGTTTTACTGAACTTACTGTATTTGTATCAAGCTCTTACGCTGACATGGAACATGCTTTGCCTTTGCTCATTTTAAAGCTCGTTTTATGAGCCTAAAAAAATTATTCCACATTTGAACCCTTCAAATGACGTTACTGATGTGTAACTTCTAAGAAACAAACAGCAAATTCAAAGTAGTATTTTGCTGAGACCTGTAACATTGCAATGCATAGTCAACAGTTTGAATGCTTTTCTCGGACAAAATGCCAAAGATATTCTTATTGCTTTTCATGTTTTTACTTGCAGTGTACGAGAAGGTAGGGTGGAACATACACTTGCAAGAGATTTAGTCCCAGGTGATACTGTCTGCCTGTCAGTTGGAGACAGAGTTCCAGCTGATCTACGATTATTTGAGGTATATACCTAGTATTGCTTTAATATTTAGTAACTTATTTTCTTGGGGACAGAGGGGAAAAGAAGATAGCCACCAAATACTGAAGTCTAATAGGTGTTATTGTTTGGAATTCACAACTACTTTGACAGAAATTTTGAAATAGTTTCTGAATGAAACTGAGCATTCTTAACAATATATGTAACAATATATATGGTTTCTTATTCCTTCATATGTGCGCAAAGAAGTTCATTGGTCTAATCTTGAGGGGGCAATTTTGTTTTCAAAAATACCTCTCCTGGCCTAAGTTATCTGTATGTTAATGTTTTATGGTAATCTTCTCTAAAGCCAGAATATTACATCAAGAACTAACATACCTATAATTGTGTAAGCTTTGAACACCATTCCTTTGGGTAGTGATGATAAATGTTTCTGAGCTCATGGCTAAATCTGAACAGAAGCAAAGTGGCATCTTCATCCTGGTTCAGCTTGGAGTCTGAGGAATACATCACAAACACAAAATTCACAGAATCACAGAACGTTAGAGATTGGAAGGGACCTCGAAAGATCATCCAGTCCAATCCCCCTGCCGGAGCAGGAACACCTAGATCAGATCACACAGGAACGCATCCAGGCGGGCTTTGAATGTCTCCAGAGAAGGAGACTCCACACCCTCTCTGGGCAGCCTGTTCCAGTGCTTTGTCACCCTCACCGTGAAGAAGTTTTTTCTCATATTCAAGTGGAACCTCCTATGTTCCAGCTTGAACCCATTGCCCCTTGTGCTGTCACTGGATGTCACAGAGAAGAGCCTGGCTCCATCCTCCTGACACTCACCCTTTACATATTTATAAACATTGATGAGGTCACCCCTCAGTCTCCTCTTTCCAGGCTAAAGAGACCCAGCTCCCTCAGCCTTTCCTCAGCAGGGAGATGCTCCATTCCCTTCATCATCTTTGTGGCTCTGCGCTGGACTCTCTCCAGCAGTTCCTTGTCCATCTTGAAATTACTGTAGAACTTTATGGAGTTAGTCATTCTTTATGGCTTTTCAAGTTTTATTGCAGTTTTTGACAAGTGTCCCTTTTTGTTTATTGATACAGCATCCATCTTCTAAAAATGGGTAATACACTGGTAACTATTTGAGAGAATAGCAGGAATTAGAGATTTGACTGATCAGAAAGCACTTTTAGTAAAGGTACTGTCCTCTTTTAACATTGACTAATTTTTTTTTTGATCAAGCACTTTGTGTTCATTTTGTTGTCCAGCTAGAACTGGAGTGCATCAGAGTTATCATGCCACATCTGAAAAAAGAAAACCAAAAAAAACCCTAACTCGAGTCTCGGAGTGATCTGCTATAGTGTAGTGGTACCGAGTGCAGTGTAACAAGTTCTTACTTACTCTTTTAAGTGGTATCCTTTGACAGAGTTTCAGCAGTTGAGTTTTATTATGCATCCTTTAACATTGTTTTTCTTGAGAAGGTTATATTGAAATCTAGTGGTATGGTCACCAACAGTGGCTTTATACTTTTTAATAATGCAAAATTATTTTACTTAAATTTTGTGGATTTTATGATTCAAGCTTTGGCTCTGTTCAAGAGTCTTCAAAGTCAGTAGATTAATGTGTAACAATTGATGTCAATTGAGGAAAGACATTTTTCTTGAATTTATATTTTGATCAGTTATTTTTTGTTTTGGATTATATTTATAGAACACAGTCTTTATTTCCTTTATCTGTCAGCTTATTAATAGAGTAATTCATTTTTCCTTTTCTAACTGTTCCCCCACGTGCTACCAAAAAACCCACAAAAGTAAAACCTAAAAAAAAAAGGCAGCTTCTGTTCCTCTAGTCTACTTGACTGTTGCCTGAATATCATTTTCCCTCTGGAGACTTTGTGAACAAAATACACCATATGAAATACAGTTTTTGTTAGTGAGTTCTTAGTGGACCAAGATAGGAGGAGGAGGACAGAAGAAGACTTCAGAGGATAATATATATGTGCACTTGCAGTCCCAGTTAATTATTTTGCTTGGTGACAGAATGCATCACAGTTGCAACCTCTTGAATGTTTTGGAGAAAAACAATCATGAACATAAAATTGTGACTTGTTTTATTGCTGCAATAATCTGTAGGAGTGCTCGCTACTCTGTTGATCCTTCAAATATGGTTGGTATTGACATGGCTTCTTATTGTACGAATAAACTGGATGTATTTTTAATGGTCAAAATTGGGAAGCTTCTATTAATGCTTCCAACTACTTACAAAAGATTGTCATGCTTTTTACCTCGTCCGTGTGTTTTGTTTTCAAAGGCTGTGGACCTTTCTATTGATGAATCCAGTCTCACGGGTGAGACAGCTCCTTGCTCTAAATCTACAGCTCCTCAGCCAGCGGCAACTAATGGAGACCTTACTTCTAGGAGCAATATTGCTTTCATGGGAACATTGGTCAGATGTGGAAAAGCAAAGGTAAAATTGTTATTAATAGAGAAGAATATTTTCCATGCTTCAAATATTTGAAGGGGGTCCTTATTTTTAAAGTTCACCTATCAATTGAGAAATGTACTTTAATGACTACATATATTTTGATTTTTCTGAAACAACACAAACAGAGAAGAAATCTAAATTTTTACTGGAATGTACTGGAAATATGGAAGACTTTACCATGATACACTGCAGAGCTTTTCTCATTGACGCTTTTTCAGGCACCAGTTTAAAAAGAAAACTAATCTAGGGCCAGGAGAGCTCAAATTTGGAGGGAGCAGAGGAGGTAGAACTCTTCTGTCTAGGATGTGGTATTTTGCTTCTAGAACTATATTCACATGTTTGAAAATCTGTAACTGAAAATACAGTTTTAGTTGGTGCTAGATAGGTGTTACCCTATTTGAGTTTTGTCACTGGTAGCTACTAAATACTTCAGCAGTGCACAGGATAGCAGGTGGTTTCACAGAGGCAAAATGTTTCTTAGCAAAAATATTTCCTACTTCTGTCAAGAATTAATGTTATAAACAAAGCTAATAAAATCGTAGCAGGATAAATGGTGTTTGCCCACTATTTGAGTCAAAGCTGACACTAGCAAACACTAACATTAAAATTAAACTTCAGATTTTAATTGGCTTTATTTTTGTTTTTTTAGGGGATAGTTATTGGAACAGGAGAAAACTCTGAATTTGGGGAGGTTTTCAAAATGATGCAAGCAGAAGAGGTAAGAGTGAATATTTAAAAGCAAAGACATATATTTTGTAAGTTGTATTTTTCATTCATTAAAACTTCTTCCATAGGAACTTAGTTAAATTTAATTGCATTGCTTTTAATATATTTATTTCCTCTAGTGAAACAAATCTTAGCTCTTGAATGTGAAAGTAGTAATTTAATTCCATGCAACAAAATATCCATAGTTGACCGAAAAATATCAACTGTGAAAATAATATTCTGAGCCTGCCCAATGGAACAAATCTTACTGCAATTTGTGGAAGTGTATTTTTTTCAAGTGGAACTACATTTGTGCAAAAAGAAAATTTGTATGACAGATTTGTGTGCTGCATGCACAGGACTACGTTTTCCTTTTATTAATAGTGTACTTCAGGGGTTACGCATTTTTGCGTTGCGTTCCTTCTTCCTTTCTATACCTTTTTTTTTTTTTTTGCCACTATATTGTCTAAATATTTCCATGGTTTTGTATTGGCTAAATGGAATTTTCTGCGGATAATGAAAAAATTCCTTTTGAGGTATAATTGGCCTTCCAGGGCTCTTATACCTCTGTCTTGAAAAGTCAGTTTTATTCTTGTTATCAAGAACTTTTTGGTCTTGGAAGAAGTGCAGTGGCTTTAGTCAGCATGATTTATTTATTTTTTAATAAGTTTTTCCATATGACCTTTTGTATTAGATTTACTGTAGACATCACAAAGTTCCCAAAGAGTATTTCTAATAAACTTTTCATTTCATTGAAGTGTTCTTGAGTCTTCTTGAATTCTTCACAAGAATGGAACAGAGTAGTCTGTTTTCACAAAGCAAACAGATGGAAACATAGGGTGTAACTGCATCTTATTCGCTAGCACTGTCTTGAAACTTTCACAGCTGAAGTAACAGTTCATGCTTTTTGACCTGTGCTTGTTGACTGCTGCGTGTTTACTATTCATCAAGGCTCCAAAGACACCCTTGCAGAAGAGCATGGATCTCTTGGGAAAACAGCTTTCCTTGTATTCCTTTGCTATAATAGGTAAGAGAATTTATGTAAAAGAATTAGAAATTACTGTGTTACTTAAACTAACCTGTAGCCTTAGGGAAATGGAAGGGCTTGATCTCACTTTATTGGTCATGTTGAGTTCATGCCACTAGTCATCTGAAGATTACTAATGCAACATAGCTTTCATCATAAGGGTGTTTAGATGCTTCTTCCTGCAAATGTACTTTTCTGGCTTACTTTTTGTCCTCTAAATGCTTCTTTTTAAATTGCGATGTGTCTTGTTTTGTGATTCAGGGTGTGCATAAGTGAGTTGCCCAATCACACCAGCAGTGAGGTAACTTGACTGGCAGGAACTTTTTTCATCCTTGCCATACTAATGGAATCATGCTTTGACATTGAACAAAATAATAAATTTTTATAGGTAGCACAATTTTAAGCTTGGTTTTGGCTATATGAGTTCTTTCTCTTTTCCCCACGAAGCTCCAGTACGTGTTGGTTTTATGTTTATCCTGACAACAATTTTCTTTATAGGAGTTATTATGCTGGTTGGCTGGTTGCAAGGAAAGCATATACTTGATATGTTCACAATTGGTGTGAGGTAAGATTTTTTGTTTTTAAATAGTGTAGATTGTGCATTACAGCAAGTGTCTGAAAACTAGTGATGTATATTATAATATGCTTGCACACAGACTCTGCTTTTAAGTTCACATAAGTAACTCAAAATGAAAATAGGCTTTGTGCTGTAAAAAAAAAGAAAATTCATATTAATTCTTAATGTTATGGTATGTTCTTGTCAGTTTCTTAAACTGTGCATTTATATGGTGATTTCAAGTGTCTTCTGGAACATCTGCAAACAGACAGTAGAGTTGTACAGTTTGAATTTCTGTCACTGAGTAAATAAAGAAAATATATTTCTATAACTGGCATTAGAAAAAACTAAGTTACTGCAAGGCTCATGTCATGTAGTTCATCAGCTCATTTTCTAGCATATTATGGAAACTGATTCCCAGGGTGTTGTCTGCTGAGAATAACTCTGAATTTAGACAATCTGGGTCTGTGCTCCTAGAACAATTGCCAAGTTGCTAATTACATGGACAGTGAGTAAGGCAGAAGTGTTTCTTTAAATGACAGGATCAGACTCTGGAGATCTATGTTTTTGGGAAGGTGCTGGGGGGGGGGGGGGAACCAGCACCAGGACCTGCATCTTTGAGCGTTTTGTAATGAGTTATTTTGATCTTGTTTACACTGTTATCAGGTTGGGGGTTCTTTTGTTTGGCTTGGTTTTGGGGGTTTTTTCGTTATTATTTTCTGTGCCATTCCAGCATTTTGCTTGCTGCCACATCATGATCTGGAAGCAACAGCTGAGAATCAGTGGTCACTTGAAGTGGTGGCGTTCCCCAGCTCTGTTTAGTGCTGACTACACTCTTCACAATCTGGGCTGCTTTGCGCAGTCCTGATTAGTATTTTGCATAGGCAAAACAGATGTATAATTGATTTCTCCCTCCCCTCAACTATTCTTCGTAATTTTGTATAAGTAATGAGTAGAAATGGCTACGTTATTGCATTTTGTTGGTCTTCAGTGTGTATTATAATAAATGCTATGCAGCTAGAATCACGTGGCAGCTGCTTCCTTTCACTCGTGACCTCAGTGAACAGACAGCTTCAGAAACAATGTTCTGAGTGTAAATGCATCATCAGTATGTATTCATGTATTATGTTCTAAGACAAGATTTGTGTATTTACTTTCATTGCAGTTTGGCTGTAGCTGCAATCCCTGAGGGACTCCCAATTGTGGTGACGGTGACACTGGCCCTCGGTGTGATGAGAATGGTGAAGAAACGGGCTATTGTAAAAAAACTGCCTATTGTTGAAACTTTAGGTATGACTAGACTAACTCGGAGGTAATATTTTGATACAAACATTAGGAAATCAACACAAATATTGATCACTAATGATTAAAATAAAGCAGGTATTCTTATTTTGCTAGCAATGTGGTGGTATCCTTAAAACATTTCTAAATCGAATGCATTTTACGCTGTTAGAATTCAGGTAACAAGTGTAACTACTTATTTGTTTTTACTGACATAAACAGTCTGTCAGTTAATAGCATGCCACACTAGTGATACTCTAAAATGTGTGAGTGATTGGATGTATGGAATACTCTTTATACTTGTTTGCTCTAAGATGTTCTTCTCAGATAAGGCTTGTAAAATGTTTTTAAACTGAATTTTGGTGTAAATTTAGGAATGATACTGACAGTTGGAAAGAAATCCAAATTTGAATAGTAGAAAAAGCTTGTAATCATAATGCACCGTTAGGATGTTATGCTGCTCATATTAAAACAAAATAATTTTTAAAAATTAATGCTTAAAAACATTCTGTATGCAGTTTCAGTCATGAAAGATGTAAAGCACAGGACATGGAAAAGGAGTAGAAATACTTAGTTAAATAATTCTGCTGCATTTGAATTTCTTTTTTCATTTGAAGATTGCAAATATTTTTTCCAGTGCCTCTAGCAGAGTTTCATTAGCATTACAAGGTTTTTGTTGCTTTTTTTTCTGCTGTCATGTCCAAAAATGTCAAGATACTGCAACGCTCTTTCAAAATACTCTTTTCCTGAGTTAAAAAGGTATATACAAATGTCACATTATGTAATCTTTTCAATCTTATTAAAAATTTTCAGGTTTAATAGTAAGTCTCACTTGTGGGATGGAAGTGTTGTGGCTAGTGCTAAGGTAGTTGTTGCACTTTTTGATAAAGAAGACTGCTGTAAAGCAGGCTCTGAGCTTTCCTCCTCACCAGGAGTCCCAATTGAGATTTCAGTAATGTAGTTTGAGATACAGTGGAATAAAATGAAGGCGAGGTAATGAATGGAAGCATTTCAGACGAGTTGTGAATTTGGGATTTTAATCAGGTTTTTTGATTATTTGGACAAACTTGCCAAGAACCTTGTACAGCTATTCATTAATAGTTGAAAATTGGAGGTCTTTGTTAAATCTCATTTTGTTTTTTCACAAAGACAGCTGTACTATTTCTAGAAAACTGCTTATCTTGAATACTTTTGTTAGTTACATTGTTCTATAAACAAACATGGTCGTATAAATGTTAATTGGTTATTTCAGGTTGTTGCAACGTAATTTGTTCAGATAAAACTGGGACTCTGACCAAGAACGAAATGACTGTTACTCATATTTTTACTTCAGATGGGCAGCATGCGGAGGTATGTAGTGCGACTCTGTTAGACTAGAAACATGCCTGAGTATACTGCAGGTAAATCATCGGTTAAGAAAGCGTAATTTTTTTGCACCAAACTCCTGTTTCTCAACTTCCAGCTAATTCTGTTTTTCTGTTCATTCAGTATTACAGCCTTTGGCCTGTATTACCCAAGCCTTCTCTGGTTACTGAAGAATTTTTTGTATAATATGTTAAGTTCTGAAATCTCTTGACGGCTGTAGGTCACAATAAAAGACAGATGCTGAGATACAGTACAAAGCCTAGTTGAGAGATGTGTGTTTTTCTTCAGCACAGAAAGCTGAGGCTATTTGGCTGTTGCAGGTGCATAGAAAAAAATGTGCATGTTACAAACATTTGAAACAGGGATATCCAGCTTTGGCTACAAGCCAATTTATTGTGTGAACCCTCCATAGTGAGTATGCACTGTCATTCTTCCTGTTTCATAATGGATGGAGTTGGAAGTAGGAGCAGGACATGAAATGGGTTGTTGAGGTTGGGGAGTTGCTGCAAAGATTGAAGTAAATGCACAAAAGAGGAGCATTTTTTGGAAAAGCAGCAAGGTGTGGTTTCATGGGAGTGTTTTAAACAAGTTCTTAAATTCTCAAGCTCTTCCTGATGAGGGGTTTTTTCCACATTACAGTTAGCAGAGGGTCTTCTCATTGACTTTTGTAAGCATAAGTACTGGCATTTTTTCTTATTCTTTCCTGTTATTTAACTATGTTTGCTTATTTATCCTGGTATTTATTTTTCTATTCTTAGAATTTCTTGGGAATGCTGCAGTTGCTTTTTCTTTACTGCCAACACAATTGTTTTACAGCTGGGTCAAATCAGCTCCTTTTTCCTAAATGAAAAAGAACTTGAAATGGCTGTAAAATATATTAGCTGTTAATGTTGTAGACATGAAGACTTTTTTAGGATCCTAGTGGGATGCCTGGCTTTTATGCACTAAAAATACAGTTTTACTGTTTTTAATACCTCTCTGAGGTCCCAGCTGAGAGGCTGTGCAGCTACGATTTTTTTTTTCTTTTTCCCCTTCTTACTGGATGAAAGGACTCTGCTCTGTACTTCCATTCTCCTGCAGAGGGTATGCATTATTAACCAGGATAAAGATGAACAGGAGGAAAAAAATTAGAAAGCAAAAGGAAGAAGAGAAAAAGAAAGCAAGAAAGCATGCCCAATACTGTAATGAAACAACATATACTGCATTTCTTTATGCTGAGAAATACAATTGCTGCTTTTTAAAAAAATTAGTCACTAATACATTTAATTGAATTTGCTTGCCCTCACAGTTTTCATTCCTTAATCTAGTACCTGCTACATTAAAAACAGAGTAGGAGTTCACACTGAGAAAAATCAGTAATTGTAAATGGCCTTTTAAATTTTTTCTGTAGTTTATAGTAAAAAGCTGAGATTAAAAGAGTTTGTGAACCTGGTGAGTGTTACATTGCATACTGCCTTTGGCTCTTTGTCTTGCAGGTTACTGGAGTAGGTTATAACAGGTTTGGAGAAGTGATGGTTGATGGTGAAGTTATTCATGGTTATAACAACCTATCCATTAGCAAAATTGTTGAGGTAAGATCTTGGCATAGAGTGGTGAGTTTTAATTGATGATGTAGCACAAGAGCTTTGTGTGGCATTTATTTTGTGTTCTGTTTTTGCCCCTTCCTCATCTTTTAGGCGGGTTGTGTGTGCAATGATGCTTTGATTAGAAACAACACATTAATGGGGAAGCCAACTGAAGGGGCTTTAATTGCTCTTGCTATGAAGGTGCGTACTTGATGGTGCTTTTTGGATTCATGGTGGGTGGGAAAGGTGTAGAAATAACTTGTGGGTTTGGATCTTTTTTTATAATTTTCTTCTCCTTTGGGTCTCCTAGATGTTCATTGCAACTGCTCATCTCCTGTGTTTCTCCTCTGTTGGAAATCTTTGGGCATTCTGAAAGATAAGAGAAAATAATTTAGAACTGAAGTAAAATCTTTATTTTATTATGTGCACTTAGTACTGTCTCTTTACCTGCCACAAGCTATTTACCTCTTGAATGTTGATTGTGCTGTCTTTCCCAGTTCTCGTCAGAAGCAGTAAGAAGTTGATAACTGATGTATTGGTGACTGCAGCATTTATAGTGCCCTTTCAGTGTGGGGCACAGGTAGTTTGAATTGTGGACACTGTGATTAAATGTTCTGGGGTTTTTCAGTGGTGCTGTGACACACTCATTGTAGCTCCTGAGGAAGGTGTCTGGGCATCTTAGTACTTGTTTGTTTTGGTTTTTTTTTTCTGTGATCGTGAATAAACTCAAAAACATTGAAAGATGAAGACATTACCAGGTGGATAGATGAT